TTTTTTGGAGTATGCGAGAGTTTTTGGTAGTGTGTGAGAGACAAAACGTAAATTTTGTCCTAAACGGCCCCTCATACTTACCAGCTGGGGATGGGCGATATAGATACCAAGTTTTATCATGATATTTTCTAGTACTATTGTGATAATGATAAAAGTGAAAATAGTAACTTTTTATTATTTCTTTTCACATAAAGAAGAACAGTTGCTTTCACTAAATTGCTCAAAGTAACTGAATTAAATCATATTTTCAAATTTATTTCTATATAATGATACTCTCCTTTAACAAAAAATAAAGAAAATACTAAAACTCACAATCTCCACGATACGGACAGTATTGGGGGCGGATAACTTTATAAATCACAATTTTTTTATGAAAATAATAAATAAAACTTTTTATCATGATAAGAAATTTGTCACACGATAAATGATCACCACGTTTGTCAACGCACAGTTCCTCTTCTCCACCACAAAATGTTTTCTGTTTGGATCATTTTTAGAGATGCTACAGCTGAAACCAGATATTTACCTAAATTGCAGAAAAAGGCAATTTTTTTTATTTTTTCACCAACTTTGCCTGTTTTAGATCAGTTTCACTGACCTAAAACACAAAAGACTTCATTGTGTGACTTTTATAAAAATGTGCTTTTTTCACTATGTTCTGACAATATAAAATGGAACAAGACTTCATAATATTTCAAAGGGGTAGTAATGGTAGTGTATGTAAAGATGGGAATTTGCAGAAATTGACACAAACATTTTCCACAGGGTTGTCTCACTCATTACTTAGAAAAGTCATTAAAAAAAAAAACAATAATTTGGCTAATTCATACATCTTAAGACCTATGTAAGATATTTAACATGAGTCAAATATTTATTTTTGTTTGGTTACTATTTTACAGGGTTTCCTCTACCGTCCATCCACCCTTTACTACAAAAAGATATTGTAACATTTAACGAGAGTTGTTTGCAAATCTTTGAAACGTCATATAGGAATATATGCAGGGCATAAAGGAAATAAATACAGCATTGCTACTGTAACAAGACATTATCAACAGCAACAAGGTGATAAGATCTAACAGGCACATTTTGATTGAATTTAAACCTAAAAATTCATATTCACACACGATGATTCATGTTGTAAAATAGTATTTTTGCTATGCTGCAAAAAATCTCATTGTTCATTGATGCTTTGTCTTTTGCAGAACCTCCACCATCGTTCCACCACCCGGTCCTACAACAGATCACAGGTATTCCCACGTTCAATGAACACCTCATTTTTTCAAAGCCATTCAGGTGACGTTGGATCAGAACAGGGATGTGTTCAACTGCACTTATATTGAACATTTTTCTCATACCAACCAAACTCCTAACAATTATGTAGACTTAGTATTAAAAAATACTTTAATTCCCAGACTTTCTCCAGAATAGGCCTGCTAACCTGATACATTTTAATTAATGCTAAGCATGGAGGCATTGTTTTGAGTTGTTGCCCTAAAATACATCCACATTATCTAGTTGGAGATTATGGGTTTCAACATATCAGAATATCAGAAGATTTTCCATATTGTCCAAAGGCATAGCAGTCTTAGTGTAAGTAAACTTGTAAATTATAATAAAATGTTCTTAAAGGTTCTTTCTTTCTTAGTAAATAGAAACTACAAGTAGTTGTTTTACTTCTGACTGATCTAGAAATAAATTCAATGAGACAATTACATTATCAGTGCTTTGTAAGGTATTAAGGTATTTTTTCAGGTTTGTACTTAAACTTTGATTCAAATTTTAACTACTATCCAACTGTAGTATTTTACTGCAGATAATAGGCTGCAAAAAGTATGTTGTACGATGATGCTTTGGCTTTTGCAGAATCCCAACCACCATCATTCCACCACCTCCTGGAACGACAGATGACAGGTATTCCTAGATTAACTTAACTCCTTATGATGGGTTGTTTAATATTATTTCATTGCTCTGTAAACAGGTTTTATTGCTTTCATTTCTGGTGGTAAATAGAATATTCACATGCCTTCACCCACCATTAATCCTCCTCTTAAAAGATATGACAAATTTTACCCATTTAATATTTATCATAGAGAGGAAAGTCTAGGTCAAACAATTTACACTGTGCAATAATACCTTTTTGACTTTTGCAGAATCTTCCCCACCAACACTCCACCACCTGCTACGACAGATGACAGGTATTCCTAGACTTAGTGGTTATCTTGTTTGAGAAATCCTTTTATTACTGGTTTTATATCAGTTAGCATAAAATTTTAACATTTTATTCTGGATAGTGAGGCTCATTATAAAATTCTAGTTAATTGAATGCAGACAGAATTTGCAGAAAAGGTTGTTGGATGCTTATTTCTTTTTTTAAAAACATATTTATCAGTGTTGACCATAGTCTTTTACATAGAAGGCTGTTTCTGGATCAGTGTTGCTAGATGTCAGATATTGAAGTACAACACCTTTTTCTGAGACATTCTAGTTATCCATTATGAGTAAACGTAGATTCACTCCATCTGCTTAACTTGCCATGCAAATATGTTATGCAGTTTTACTAAAAAATAAAAATAAGTCACATTTTTGCAGACATTTTAAAAGTGTTAGCAATAACAGCATCTATGAACCACATGTCTCTTCTGTCAGTTCAAATTGCTACATTTAACCTTTAATGCAAAGCAGGTTTCTTTTTCACTTTCATGGCTTCTTCCAACGGAGCCTTTTCTGAATTTTTCTGCAGACATTGTGTTATTGGTTTCTAAGCTTCTATGACATGTTTGTAGCCCAGGACAGGTCCTTCAGAGGTCAGAGCAAACATGTATGACCTCCACAGGCCATGCATGTTTGATGGTCTTATTATATAAAACCTAATCAGCTCTTTTTGACATGCATGTAAAATGTTACTTGTGACAAAAAGCAAACGCCCTGAATATTCTGTTGCCATGATAAATCAGGTCAGTTGCTTAGTTTCAGGTCTTATTTACACTCCTAATTTGATGACTAAATCATATAATTGACCTTATTACCTAATCTATTAAACTTAACTTAATACAGGATGACTGGACTGATGTATATTCTCAGGATATTTTTCTTTCTCTTGTAGCATTTTTTGCCTCAGTCCTGGCATGGTGGCCTCTCCCATCCTCACTGTCCTGCTGGCGTTGATCCTTCTGCTGTCATAATGTACGCCTCTCATATAAATCTTCTGTCTCTGCATAGGCAGCGAAAATGATTAGACATTTCTCCCAGCTATGCATATATGTTATAATGACAGTGTAAGTTAATATCTTATCCTAAACATGTAAGTTCATTGTGCAAAAGCAAACTGGGAAGATATATGAACTTGGGGCTCATATTCAACAATATTTGGTGATGGGAGTTTATTTTTATTCAGTGCGCATCAGTAGATTATTGTATGGTACTGCTAAAGCCTGATTGAAGCAAAGTTTTGTTTTTACAACAATTGATACACTTTGTTCCAAGTGCTTGAATTTCTGAATCAAACCCATAATATTCTGTATAAAGATTATTCTGTTTTGCACAAATATTTAACCATATGCTAATATATTTAAACATATGTGCTTGGTGACTTAATGGCAAAGAACGTTTTCAGTCAGATATGTATGATCTATTGCTTTGCACAAAGTTTGGGACAATAAATATTAATATAATGCATAAAAAGCCACCATAATGTTAAATTTCTTACATTTTTGTCATGCAAATTTGAGATTTTATTGTTCCACTACCCATAATAAAATCTAATAAATTAGTTAACAGGAACACATATAGGTCAAATGTATTCATATTTATAATGTACAGTGGATTGAACATTTATGATAAATGGAACTTTCTTCAAAATTTACATGGAAGTACCTGTACACTAAAACAAGTCTAGTGCTTGCAGTAGAAATGACTCGTGGTCTTTAGCCCAAGACTCAGACTCAGTCTTCTTGAGAGGTTTTCGTGTTTCCTTTAGTGTTTTTTGGTTCAGTGCCACCACAAGAAAACAGGTTTGAAACAGGTTTTTCAAAGGGTTTGCTTTGTTTGATACAATGCAGCGTGAAAACAAACCCTACCAGCTGAAAATGTCACATATCTTGTAGTTTTTCTCTCCAGTCGAACCGAGTTTACCATCAGGTGTGAAAACACACTAAAATTTGGAAATATGAATCATTTAATTCACATTGTGAAAAAGTCTGGTGTCGTCTGTTTAAGAAGTGTGATGGAGCCACCACACCACATCTCTGTGGTTATTCTTTTGTTGATGTGCTGTTGATTTTGTAGCAAACCTACCATTGGAAACTATGGCCTAAAAGTTCCAGTTTGATTTCATGAGACTATAACAATTACTCCCACAAGATTACAGGTTTTTTGCAGGCTTGGATGTTGAATCTGAATAAAATAATCTTGTGCAAGCCTGATTGAGTCCTGTCCACACAGACAAAACTAACATCTACTGAATACTGACTTGAAGGGGATGAATTCTTATGTAATCACTTATTTTAGGGTAAATGTGATTTAATTTTCATCATTTTGTACAAATTCACTTTCAAATTGACATGAAGAGGACTTTTTGTAATTTTTTTTTTTGTCAAAAAGGTCAAATTTTGTGGGCCATGGAGAGACATTTTTTACTGTAATTTAGACCAGTGGTTCCAACCCTGGTCCTCAGGCCGCCTTTCCTACATGTTTTAGATGTATTTTTATTCCAGCACACCTGAATCAATTGATTGCATGTCCTCCTCTGCTCGCAGTCTAGAGCTGCTAAATCTTGTTTATCACACAGTTATGTAATTCAGGTGTGTGGCAAAAAGAAGACACCTAACCCTAGTTTGAGGACTAAGGTTGGGAACCACTGATTTATGTAACAGAAGTGTGTTTTTAGGCATGTGTCACATGCTGTTAATAGATTTTATCCTAAAAAAAAGCCATTATTTTATACTTACGACTCTATCAACCCTGCTGACTTTGATTCCTGCTGTGAGCCCTGATTAAGTATTTATACATCTTGAACTTCTTCACATATTTACCATGGTAGAATTGCAAACTTTGATGCAATGATGATTTATAAATTGTTAGAGAGAGTTTAAAGATGGTCTCTTCTTTTGCTCAGTATGATGGAAATGTGTGAAAGATGCTCCACAAACTCCACTTTCATTAACACAAAGACAAGTTGTACAAATCTGAGAACACAACAAACAGCAAAGATTCTGCGTAGGCACAAATATTGATTACCGAAGCTCAAACAATGAAATCTGGAACAGTTTCAGGTTGGGCTGATAGGAAGGGAGACTGACTGATCAGGTTACGACTGATCTTTACCAGCATTTTCACAGCTGCGTGACAATGCGGGCAGAGACGCACAACCATGGAATGAGCAACATGCACTTGTCTTTCCGGTCTATTTAGGTTCATCAAGCATGAAACAATGAACTGTCTGTGGTTTTCTGTTTAACTAGGAAACAGTTAAAATAATTTTTTACAAACAGTGAGAATTTTATGGTCAAAACGAATAATAAAATCATTTAATGATGTGATAAAATAGATATTTTTCTTCATAAATAGCTAAAATAATTGGTCTGAAGAAAGTACGGTTAATTCATTTGGTGTGAAACATTCAAAATATCAGGTAAATTTGACAGGTATAATTAAACTTAGACTTTTTACTGAACAATCACATTTTAATAAATTACATATTTACACTAGCAAAAAATCTGAAATTATTTTACATGTTTTCTAATTCTGGCTAATTAAATCTAGTAAACTTGTGCTGGTTTCAAAGATCCTTTCTCAAAAAGGGAACGTAAATGACTTTTGTTGCTACAAAACAAAACAAAAACAAAACAAAAACTTTTGTTCTATTTAAATCCTGTTTTGTTCCCAGCAAGTAACCCGAAACATAGCAAACAAATGGTGACAAGCAGCTTCAGAAGAACGACTAGATCAGTCTGACAGATATACTGAGACACAGTCATTACCAAGAATGAGGATATAATGGTAAGCTGGCAGGAAAACTGGAAAGCATCACTGTGTCTTTGACATCACAGCCAGCAGTCAGGAGTTGTTACCTGCATGCATGTGACAGCCGAGTTCACGGGCAAAGAGATACAGTAACTTTATGCCGCACTGTTCTTAGAGTGTGTGTGGAAAATACTAGCAACTTGGAGTTTTTTTACATTTTGTGATGTTATAGCCTTATCCTAAAATGAATTAATCATATAATCCCCTTACTCTACTTGTAGCTGCTGAACAGGAATTCGACGGCGAAGAATCTGAACCCTGGAGGCCTCATCTGAGTTTTCAATGGGGGGTACGATCACTAAACAGGAAGTCCTCATTTTCCAATTTGCCTTTTTATAGAGGAAATAACACATAAAATAATGCCAAAGCAGAAGCTCAGCTTTAGCTGATCTGAGTTTTCCTGGACGTTCCACAATTTTAACAGGGAAACTAGACCACCGCTCCACTCACGTTGCCAATTGAGCATCTGTCTCAGAAAATAGTGCAGCCACTTCAAAGAGTTATGTTTTTGATGTAATGATAATAATATTTCCCCAACCAATCGTGTTGAAAACATTTAGTAAAAGTCACCACATACAGATTTTTTGTTTTCACACATTTTATTTCTTGTTTTTTTAGGATTCTACTTCCATATCTCACAACATGGACGACAACATCACACTTTTGTGACCAAACCGCACCCATTCCTACATTACAGGGATAAGTATCAAAGTCAAGACTGGAGTAGATAAAATCCTTTAGCTTCTCAAAAGCCTTCTGACAAGCTGGAAACCATTTACACTGCCTTTTCAGTCAGCTGATGCAGAAGTTATCCCATCTCAGTGACAATAACAATAAGTGTAGAAAAACTATTAAAAACAAAAAAATTAAAAAAGAAAAGAATAAGCCATCAGGATCAGATTTAGAGGTGATGACAGAATAGTCAGTTTCTTACATAATAAACTGACACAAATCACACTGTGAGCAGTCTTTGTATACTCCAGCTGATTATGTTTACATCATTGTATCTGCCCTCGCCCTTTTAGCTGAAGGTACAGAGTGATATAATTGAAAGATTTAAACAACAATTACAACTATGCTCTTTGTTTGGTGCTTTATGTATTTCACTTATAAATATTTGCCATTTTGGTGAAACTGTCTGCACTATGCACCTCGTCTCACAC